ACTTCGAACTTTACGTTGTATTATACATAATCAAATTTTTGAGTTAACGAAAAAATCATCATATAGTAAATATAAAATACTAGTTTAAAGTAATATTCAATTATTATTATAATTATTATAATTAGTATTATTATTATTATTATTTACTATAGGAAACACAATAACTGTGAATACCCAATTAAAATAGCTTCGTCCGTTTCAAAGTCTTTCCCATTTTCCAAAACATACAGATAGATGCATACAGCTAAATTTTCKATGTGTGTGTTTCATGCAATATTACATTTAAYTGTGTACATTCATTTAAAAATCAAACGTTATAATTATAAACATGTAAAATAAGATCAATAAGACTAATACTATATTTTATTTTATGTAACCAATAGCAACAATATATTGTTTATACAACAAAATATTGGATTTCTGTTTGCTGAAACAAAATTTCTGTGTGTGATCATCTTTAAAATGAGAATTTTTTTTTCTTATGTCACTCTCATATCATTAGATATGTATGTATACCATTAGTATTTTATATCTGAAGYCTATTAGTGGTTTGTCTGGATGTTGACACAAAAGTTTCATCAAACATTCGGACATCTTTCTTTATAAAATATAATTTAGGTTTAWAAGYGAGTTCTGAGTTCTGACAATGCTGAATTGAAWATTTTCCTTAATTTAGGTTATAGGTAGGTATAATAAAGATAAAAAAAACAACGAATTTATAAATGATTAATATCAATATGGTATGTTTATATCGATTCCTACATCATTGAATTTTAATGAACTTGGATAGGCAGATAGACATTATTACAGGTGCAGATATATCAATTTATACAACTTATCTGCCTATATATATTCTTAAATATTAATATATTACCGTGACTCTGATGGGTAAACCTTTCATGCCCATCAATTCTCTTAAATCGTTTGTAATTGAAGTAACACAATGTTTGGTAGCGGAATAAACTGAAATATCTTTCATATATGGCATTTGGAAATGACCTGCAACACTAGGTAGGTACAACATAAGTTAATTATAATTATATGTACTACGTTAGAAATACGAATACATAAGTTATTGTTATAGAAGCTTATTAGAGATAAATTTCAATTTATATTCTATGATATAATATTTGAAGTTCTTCGATTAATAAATATCTATCCAATCAAACTATATAATAACAAATTAACAACACAGGAATTCTGAATTACAGATGCATTGATATCTCTATAAAAGTGCATCGTAAAATAAAATAACATCCAGGAGTTGGAAAGGTAATATTTTTGTTAGCCAGAAATGTTTATAGGTCCTATTAAACGGAAAAGTTATTAATTCAAAAAAACAATTTTACTTTCATTTTTCAATCAAAAGTTTTTACAAAATCATTAAAATCATTGGCATCATCATTAGTTAATCATTTTTTCCTTGATTAAAATATTTTTTTTTAACAATTTACCTACTTTTAGAATTAACTTCTTCAATTATTTAATCGGAGTTAATTCCGATCAACAATTATATTTCAATAGACAAGATCTTTACTTAAATATGATTTTATTATTGGATACTTTGGTTTAGGTTAACAGTGATAATTTATAGTTAATAATGTTAATATTTAATATTTATATATTATSTTAAAGATCCGCAAGAAAATTTGAAGTGGATTATTATATTTTTTTTAAATAACAGTAATAATATTTTCTAGTTTTAATTATATCTATTTGGTGAATTTATTTTATATACAAAAAAAAACATGTATAGAACCCAAGAGGTCAACCGAAATTAAGGACCTACATAGAAAATCTATTTATTCCATCGACTACCGAGGATTATCATCCATTCCTGAAAAACATTCATGAAATTTTATTAAATCTAATAGTTACCTGTTAATATTTATTATATGACCCTCTTTGATTTTTATTTCCTCCATGATATTGATGGCTTCTCTGCTACAAATGTTATAACCTATGACATTGGTGTCAAACATTTGTTTCCAATCATTCGTATTTCCTGGAAGTTTTAATAATGGTAAGTATAWCATGTTTTATTGAAATTATACATGATACAACTATATAATACTTTTTCATTAATATTGATTACACGTAACTGATACCCACTTCGCAACATTGTATTGACTAATTTACCGCAATATGAAATTACTTATAGGTACCTAAGTACCTAATGACTAAATTTAAAATAAAATGGAGAGAAAGTACCGCAAATCTGTGCAAAAACTGCCTGTTAGCCTATATTAAGTAAAATTTTTACACTGCAACCTTATATACACACAACGGCTACTCAATCACCTTAATATGGATACCCGCCACAATCAAATTCCGGGAAATGAAAGAGCTGACCAAAAAGCACGCCAAGCAATAACCTCCACTAATGCCATTAGACTCAATTTTTTTACCCTACACGACGTCAAATTCATAACTAGAATAATATCAAACAACATATATGGCTTCGGGACCAAAAAATGTATTTTACATGATATAATTACTATTAAAGTAATTTTTTTCCCTATAAGTAACCTATAATTTTATTGTAACAAAATACATCTGTAGTTATATCTACATTAAATTGAGTTAAATTAAATTGGTTAAATCTAAATATTGAAATATATAAAAATATTTGTATACAATTATTTGGAATTCATTCATAAGTACATCATACAAAAATAGTACGTTCAGAACCACTTCTGAGTTATCCGTTTAAATCAGTTAGATATTTTTTATACTTAAAAATTATCCTATTAATTATTTAAATCATATGTTTGCTTGTATATTTATTTTAATATCAAAACTATTTATAAGTATTTAAAAATGTACAAAAAATTATAGCAGACTCCTGACTATTGTTTAATATTTTAATGTTACAATATCAAAAATCCTACGTCTAGGCCTAAATAATATTTAGGTATATTTTTATATTTGAATATGGTCAAATACTAAAATTATTCTAATACCAAACATAAAAGAGTAAAATGGATCATTCAGAACTTAAATTATGATATGGTATATTGGTATGCGTTAGTAAGAAAAATGAACTATCAAAACTTCCAAAATTTTTAAAAAGCTTTGTAATATAGTATGTTATTGAAACCTATTGCATAGCTGACCATGGCCTGCAGTAGCGGGTGTGACCAATCCGGAAGAGAAAAGGTACCTACTACAAGTTTCTTATTTATTCTATAATTGTGTTTTACCTTTGCAAAAATCTTTTTTAATTTTTTTTTTTTATACGATATATACAATATATTCCTTTAGGAATAATAAGAATATGTGATAAGATAGTTTTTACAAGACGATTATGATGAAAGGAGTCATCCAATAGTATAACAATATACTCTTACTTGATGTTGGCAAAAATCTAAAAATGTGTAATAGGTATATATTATTCAGTATTAATATATAGTATTATTATAGTATTAATGTAATATAATATTAATTGTTTTGATTGTATTATTTATGACTTATGTCATAATTTAAATAATTCTACCTATAAGTAGATCGTAGATCACATCGAATATTCGAATGATTCATTGAACATTTTACACTTTTGTATATAGGATTAATAATAATATTGATATACTGCAGTGCATATCCTTCTAAAATTTTTTTTATATACATTTCATTGTATTTTATTACACATTCATTAAACACTTATACATTCAATTAATCATAGCTGTACTATAAACATTAATATATATATCATTTTAGTTTACCTAATAAATCACTTGGCTTCCAGACACCTGCATTGTTAATTAGTACGTCAACCGATTTCAATGTTCTTTTTACCCAATTAAAAGCTTCCAAAATGTTTTCTTCCGAACACAAATCAACTTTAACGTAATAAAATGTGCCAACATTTCCTTTTAAATTCTTTTCTAACTCCTAAAAAAAAAGATTCAGTAAATTATTAGATATCATAATATCATTATAATATTATAATACTTATACTAATTCTAAAACTGTCTTTATAAATTTAAGGAATTCTTATTTTACTGTCGATTGCAATTTATCGTTGAGTAAGAGATTGTATTAGGAAAGTGTTGAATTTGAATTCAACGATAAAAAATTGTTTGCGAAAAACGATATGGAGACGGTCTGTTAGCCATCATATATTTTATAAGTGCGGTATAATATTATAGTCTTATACCTATTATAATATAATCAGAAATCAATAAATAAATAATTTATGCATATTGTATATATTTATATTCCAATTGTAATTTATTTTTCTATAAATAAATGGTTGAGTTGAAATGATTGAACTCATATTTGTCAAAAAGATAGGTACCATATAGTATTTATTAGATACACTATTATTTCATATAATATTACTATAGCTTATAAGCAGGGCTAGGATTTATATGCAAGTATGCAACAGCATGTTTTTTTGCGACTTCTGGTTGTCGATTTTGTCAGTAATGTCCACGAACCACCTCATGATGAGATAAATGGTGGTGTTTTTATTTTGCATGTTTTTGCATATTTTGGATAAAATGCATATTAATGCATATATTGAATAAAATTAATATTATTGCATATTTCCATTATAAGAATGCGAAAAATGCATGTTTTATAGTATATTTCGTAA